CTCCAAAGCCTGGGGTGGTCACAGGGAATGGCATCATCATAGTCATCCTTTTCTTTCCCCCCTTCTTGATGTCTCTTCCTCTGACAAGCACTGCTGGGAGAAGCATGCAAGAGAGAGGAGGACATACATAGTGATGGCAGGGACCAAGCAGAGGTCTGCTGTCCTCCAGGCCATGATGACTATCACCACGCCACCTCCATTTTTGATTGGCCCCTTGGGCCATGTGTCACTTCCAAAGCTATAGAGCTCCTCAGCAGGTCCATGGGGTGCCCATGCCCCAACCACAGCAGCCCTGACCACGTCTTTGCCCATCCAGGTACTCCGAAGAGGAGATCCGACAGAAAGTGGGAACCTTTCGGCAAATGCTGATGGAGAAGGAGGGTGTGCTCACCAGGGAGGACCAGCACGGGCGCCAAATGTAAGTCAGGCAGCTTCCAGGTCCATCTGTGTGTCTCACCCCAGAGAGGCACGTCCTTGATTGCCTCTGAGTATCAATGGCAGGTGGGTGGGTGGATGAGGGTGTATCTAGGCATGACTGGATAGATGGATGGACATGGAGAGGGTATAAAGAGATGGATGGATGGATGGATGGATGGATGGATGGATGGATGGATGGATGGATGATGGATTGAGGATGGATTGAGGATGGATGGATGGGTGGATGGATGGATGGATGGATGGATGGATGATGGATTGAGGATGGATGGATGGATGGATGGATGATGGATGGATGGATGGGTGGATGGATGGATGGATGGATGGATGGATGGATGGATGCATGGATGATGGATTGAGGATGGATGGATGGGTGGATGGATGGATGGATGGACTGGCTTTGAGTCAATGTTTGTTTGATTTGATAGTTAGTTGGTTGATTTGGTGGTTTGATGGCTGGTGGTTGGTTGGTTGATTTGATGGTTGGTTGGTTGGCTGTTCAGTCAGCTGGAGGCAGAATTTGTCCCTCTGAGGCAGTATCCTACCTCTGGAGAGGTTAAAGATTATCCTGCACTGGTCATTTGGAGATCTCTGGGTGCTGTGCAGAGGCTGGCGTTGCAATGCTCTTGTCCCAGAGGATGAAACCCAAGTGAAGAAGGTCTCAGTGCTTGGCTCACCCCACCGCAAGAGGCAGGAACCTCATGAAATAAGCTCCTCCAAGGAGATCCTGTACTGTTCCTTTTCTTCTAATCACTCCTCACAGTGCCTGGTCCTGGGGGGCTGCCTCTGCCCTGGAAGGGAGCTTAGGGCTCAGTTTTGGTGTCCAAAGCAGCCCAGCTGGGGACATGCCAGTTGCTGCTCCTGCCCTGCACAGGACTATTCCCTGCTTCACCAGGGTGCACCCTGGCTCGATGATGATTTATCAGTGCAATGTTTAATGGCCCAGGCAGCATGGCTGGCCCGGCGTGCACCATCCATCAGCCTGGAAACCAGGTCACTTGGGACAGGAATAGATGCTTCAGGTTCACTGAATATTAATGCTTCATTAGGGTCAGGAAATCAGGGCGAGGGGGAGGCAGGGAAGCCATGGCAGCAGGGAGAGCCTCCCTCACACCCCTCTGCTGGCACGCCAGGCAGGGTGGGACACAGGGACATGGCTGTGCCCTGCCTGGATGGGGCTCAGGGGCTTGGGACAGCGTGAAACATTCAGGATCCTCCTCCAGGCAGGGAAAAACAAGGCATGGGGAAAACCAACCTGCCCAGTCACTGAGCATCACGCCTGAGGTGTTAACAAGTGGCCTTGCTGGTGGGGGCAGGGGTCATCTCCAGGGCATCTTCCTGGCAGGTTTGTTAAGGCCAGCACTGTAACGAGCATGTGGGGAAGCCAAAGGTGCCTGCAAGTTACCCAGGCAGCCCTGGCTGTCACCTTTACAGGCTTGGTTTTGCAAAACTAAGGGTAATCATTAAAGATTAGTCCCAGGGCTATAAATAATAGTGCTGAGCTGGAAGGAGCAGTCTCACAGCAAAGGATTGCTCGGAGGAGAGCAAAGCCAGAGGCGCTTGAGGAGGATGGTAGGAGCTGGGTCCAAAGGAGGTGGCTCCTCAAGCAGCAGAGATCTGAGCTGCTGCATGCCAAAGGTCTCTGCTGCATGAAGAGGCTGGACAAGGGGGTTAAATAAGCTTTAAATAAAGAGCCTCAGCCCTTATGGTGGCTGGTAGAGTGCTCAGCAGAACGTCTCATGGGCTGGTCCTGCTCCAGCACCGCTCTGGGCTTTTACCGTGTGGTCCTTGGCTGCCAGGACTGTGAGTCTGAACCAGCTGGTCCTGTTTCAGAGCCAATGCGAGGGCTCAGCATCATCTGCATAACTCCCCGGGGAAAACCGAGGCATCGAGCACAGCTGTGACTACCTGAGTCCCTGCCTTTGCTCTTTGTGCTCTCCCAGTTCCCATCTCTGTGTGCACAGCTCGGTACAGCCTGGTCCCCAAGGAGAAAGGCTTGATGGACAGGCTGGTGGGATTGCAGACAAAGGCGAGCGTGTGCTGGGCAGGGAGGGATAATTGGAACAGCACAGGGCTGGTCTTGAGCTGCTGAGCACAGCTAATGGGTGAGATGCTGGCAGCAGGCTCCAGTGTGGAGCGCTGCCTGCTCACAGAGCAGAGACACACACAGAGAATTAACCCCGCTCCCTTCTCTCTTCGCCTCTTTTCTCCCCCTTCCCACGGTTGGGTGGGTGGTTGAAAGGCTGATTCTACTTTTGGGACATGGCCAAAGCAGGAGGCATGTGGAGAGGACCCAGCAAGCCATGGCTGTGGCACAGAAGGGAGCCTGAGTCCCGCTTGAGCGATCAGCCGTGGTTAGGGGGAGGGTGCCTCGTGTGCAGTTTCGGTCCAAGACGTTTCTAATTAGGTTAAACAGCCCATGGCCTGCCTGTGGCCAAGGATGCCAACACGTGCCACTCTCAGATCTGCAGGCTGGGGCTGGGATCTTCCCTTCTCCCAGGCAATGGCCAGGCTGCCAAGGGACTGATGTTGTGGGGCTGCACTTCTCCACCAGCATTGTGACTGCTCACCTCCGGGCTGGGAAGGGCAGAGGAGCCCACATCAGGCTTCTGAGGGCAAATCTCCCTTGGGAAGCAAACACCTAGGCTGCTGTGGTGCTGGGCACCCTCCATGCCTGTCCTTATCTCTTAAGTTTCCTTCCAGAGCACCTGGATGTCCTTGTCTCTCCCTGAGTGAGATGTCCTACATCCCCCAAGAGCAAATGAGAGTCTCCCTGCGGGTTTTGCTCCTGGGGCTGATGGCAGAGCCAGCCCAGGGAGCTGGGGGCATCAGGGAGAGGTTGGACAGGGTCTCCTGAGGCTGTCCTAGTCCAGCTGCCAGGCCTCTGCCGAGCCCTGCCCACAGCCCTGGTAGTCAATGGCAACCATGCCATGGTTTCTATGGCAGTGGGAGAAATTAATGCTGATGAAGTCACACAGGAGAGAGAGAGAGAGACCCTGTTGGCTCTAGGCATGGTGTCCCCCCACCCCTTCTTCACCTGGCCCTAGGAGGGTCACTGACCTTTACCTGCCTGAAGCTCCAGTGCTGAGCTGGTGGCACTGTGGGGTGCTGGCCTCAAAGCCCGGATCATCCTGGACAGTTCCCACCTAAATTTCCACTGCTGGTCTTCTGCCAGCTCCTCTAACCCTTATCCAGCCCTGCAACACACCTGGGCTGACCCAGCCTCCCATTCAGCCCCAGCACTTGAGCAAAGCCAAAAGGGGCTCGAGTGAGGCTGAGGCTGGGCCCTGTGGGGACATGGTGGCCCGAGTCTCAGTGTCCCTGTGCTGGCCTGGTGGGGATCTCTGCAGGGATGGGAGCCACAGGAATACCCTGAGCAGACCTCCACCCTGGGACATTGTTCTGTGTGGACATCAAGGGACATGACCAAGGTCCCCTGGGGATGCTGTGGCAGAGGGAATGTCCCCCAACCTCTGTAGCTGCACCGGGGCTGGCCCAGCTGCTCTGGTGGGAAACAGGGAATGGGGATCCCCCAAATAATCCTGCTCTTCCTCCTTTGGCAGTGTGATAGAAAACCACCACGGGGCGGATGGGGAGGAGTACGAGGTGGAGTACCCTGACTACGGCGAGGGCTGCCTGCTGCAGTGCGACTGCTCGGCCGAGTGCTACCGCGAGGACAGCGGCCACCGCGAGTACAGGTGGATTTGGGGACCTGCTGTGCACAGGGTCCCACCCAGGGACAGAGGCCAGGGGCCTGTCCCTTCTTCTTTTCCCAACCTTAGCTGCTGTCTCCCACAGATTGAAAAGGCGCTCGAGCAGCTCCACCTCTCCTCCACCCAAGAAGAAAAAGAAGAAGAAATCAGGGCACCGCCGGAGCCGGTGAGTCCTTGGCTGTCCCCGTGCTGTCCCCTCTCTCTGGAGGGCAGCTCTCACCTCCCAGCTCAGCCCTTTGCCAGGCTCTGGAGGGGCAAGTCACCTCAGTTTGGGGGGCAGAACATCCCTGAATGTGCACCCTTAAGAGGTGCAACGCATCTGCATGTATTGATACTGCAACACACGTGTGTGCACACACCTACTGCATGCACTGGTGGGACCTTGCCTGGTCCATGTGGGGAAGGAGCTCACTGCCACGGGGCACAGCACCAGGCAGTATGTGGCCCTGTGAAGGGTCTATCTACCCCAAACCTCACCACTTAGCCCTGGTTGCCTGGGTAGGATGCTGTCCCTAATGTCCCTTTCTTCTCTGCCTTTCCCATGGCAGCAAAAAGAGGAAACCTGGCTCAGAGCGCAGGTGAGTGACCACTGGGCTGGGTGGGCTGTGGGGTCCCCTCTGGGTTTGCAAGGCCATTGGGCACAGGCTGGCCTTTGCCACCCACTGTCCCCTTCTGAAATCCCACTGGGAACTGGCCAATTTGTCTCCTGCTGGAGGCTGTAGAGCCCACGAGGTGGCAATGAGACACAGCAGGATTTGGGCATTCCAGAACTGAAGGCAACCAGAGCCCTTCTGCCAAAATTCCCTTTCTGTCCCCCAGCTCAAACCCCCCAGGAAATAACTGCCTTGTGATGTTCATGCATCCCATGGGGTGGTCCAGGGGAAGCAATGTGGCTGGGGGTGATGGGACCAGGTTCCTCTGGGCCAGGAGGAAGAGGCTGGGGAGTCCCTTGCTCTCTGCTCAAGGGCACCCACTTCCCTCTAGCTGTGACAGCTCTTCACCCATCCGCAAGGAAAAGAAAAAGAAGACTGGAAAGAAACACAGACGTGACAGGTAGGGTGGACACAACAGCAGGCTGGGGACAGCAGGGGTGGTTGGGGACAGAGGGGCTCCTTGGGGCTGCTCAGGTCCTTGGGGTGGGGTGGGATTTAGAGGATAGGGATGGACTCTGATGACTTTTCATGGGGCCATCACCTCCTCACAGCCACTGTCACCTGCCTCATCCAGTGACCCACCTCGGGGCCATCTCCCTGTCCTTCTCCTCATCCCTGGAAACTGCCCAGCCCTTGCTCCCTGCTGGCCAGACCAGTTTATCTCCTTCATCTCTGCGTCCTCTTCCTCCCTCAGGTCTGAATCGGGGTCACGAAAAAAGAGAAGACACAGGTAAGAGTGACAGCTACCAAGAGCCACCCCAGTGCCACCAGCTGCCAGCTTGCCCTGCCAGGGACCCTCTGTGTCCTGCCCTCGTGCTGTCCCCTCCCCTCTGCCCATCGTGATGAGCCTCCTCACCCCACACTGCTGTGTGTCCTCTGCCCTTGGACGTGGCACAAGGCCACTCTGGCTGACTGTGGGGCCCCAAATGTCCCCCAGGGGAGGAGGGAGGATCCCAGGAAGCCGTGGCCAGGGCAAACCTTTACAATTGCCCTGTTCTGCAGATGCCCTCTGCCAACACTGCTATTTTAAGGTGAAAGGAGTGAAAAACAGAGGGTGCCAGAGAGGGCACAAGGTAAAACAGGTGTGGGGGGTGACAATGGGCCTGAGCCCTGAGGATGCTAAGCAGAGCCAGTCCCCCTCTTTTCTCCTGCCCTGGTCTCACCAACCTGCTCCTGACCTCACAGTCCTCCCAAATCAATTCCATCTGGGATCCCCACCACGCTTTGAACCTCAGTGGAGCCCAGCTCCAGAGCAGGCAGGTCCTTCCCCTCTCTCCTCCCCCAAAAGCCTCGGTGTCTCTGGGGGGCTGGGACAGCCACCCCCAGGTGCTGCCCCCACTCCCACATCCGCAGCTTTCGGCTCTTCCCGCAGGTCCCGAAGCCCCAAGAACAAACGGAAAGAGAAAAACAAAGAGCGCAAGAGGTGAGGTGGCGGGCAGGCGGGGGCGGCGGGGCTCTCTGTGTCCCTGCGTGTCCCCGCGGCGGCTCAGCCTGTCCCTCGGCCCCGGCCGCCCTCTCCGCAGGTCCCGCAGCGAGTCCCCGGCCTGGCGCTCGCACCGCCGCAGCTCCTGCAGCTCCCACAGCGCCTCGCTCTCCTCCGACGACAGCGGCTCTAAATCCCCGGGCAGGTAGGGACGGTCCGGGACCCCACCAGCCTCCAGCCTCTGCGGTGGGATCCTGTGGGGTAGAGAGCAGGGACAAGTCCTTGTGATGGACACACTTGTGTGGTAGAGGGCAGGGAGGTGGGTGGCAGAGGTGTCCCAGGGATGGGGACCTTGGGGGATGGAGGGCAGAGGCAAGTGATAGAGGTGTCGTGCCCCAAAGATGGAGACCTTGAAGGATGGAGGGCAGAAGGTGGGTGGCAGAGGTGTCCCGGGGATGGGTACCCTGGGGGATGGAGGGCAGAAGGTGGGTGGCAGAGGTGTCCCAGGGATGGAGACCTTGGAGGATGGAGGGCAGAAGGTGGGTGGCAGAGGTGTCCCAGGGATGGAGACCTTGGAGGATGGAGGGCAGAGGCGGGTGGCAGAGGTGTCCTAGGATGGGTACCCTGGGGGATGGAGGGTAAAGGCAGGTGGCAGAGACATCCCTGAGACAGGTATAGAGCGGAGTGGGATGGTGCTGCAGCATCTCTGGAAGGTTTGGGAGCATGACGGGATTTCAATTTTTAGCCAAAGAAAGCACGAAGCGCCAATTCTCACCCCATTTCTGGCGTCGGCCAAGCCTGGGCTGCAGCCAGCGGCTCTGCCGGAGCCGGACCAAGGGCGGGGCCGGGCTCGGGGCCGGGGGTGCCGGCATCTGACGGTGCGGTTCTCCTCAGGCTGAGCCCCAAGCGCCGGCAGGATGGCCCCAAGGGCAGCAGCGCCCGCTCCAGCCGCAGCCCGTCCTCGCCCTCGCCCCAGCGCTCGGCCTCGCCGCACCAGAACGGGCACAAGGGCAGCGCCCAGAACGGCCGCCACAGCCACGGCGCCCCGCTGCCGGAGCCCTCGGATGTACGTAGGCTTTTCTTGGATCACTCTTCGCTTCCCTCCCTTCCTCCCTCCACAGGACTGCCCCCCTGCTCTCCTGTCCCCTCCTTCCCCGCTCGCTCGGCTCCCTGCCCTGCCCAAGCGGAGCACCCGGGGGAGATGTGGGGTGCAGGTTGCACCTTCCCAGCGCTCACCAGCCCTGTGCTGGGTGCACGATCTCCCCGGGGGAGCCAGCCCATCACCCTGAGGCAGGGATCAGGGCAGCCAATAGGTCATCCCTCTCCCAAAGCCACACGTCGCCCTGCGGATGTCATCCCCACTCCGGGATAATGGCTTGGCAGGCCAGCATCACCTGCCGAGGTCACCACCAGGCTCAGCACCTCCCTGAGATTGATCCCAAGTAGCCAAGAAACGGCCAAAGCAGGAAAATTATTTTTTGCCCACCAGCCCCAACTCTCCCTAGTGCCAAGGGGCCAGCAGCAGTGCTCAGGACCCCAACACCCAGGCTGGCCAAGTTAGGGTTTGGAGGGGATTCGATGCTGGATGCTCAGATTTTAAGACCTTGAGGTCCCCATGAGGTGACATCGGAGCTGAGCATCCCCAGCTCTGCCTTAACATCTCGAGGGTCTTGGTGAAGCCCTGGGGGCTGCTCCCCTGCTAACCCAGTGGGCTCAGGGGCCAGCCCCAGTTTAACCAGTGCTGGGATGGTGAGGAGCCTGCCTTGGCTGAGGGAGGGCCGGAGGCAGGGCTGAGTGAAGGACGGGCTGCAGGACTCCACCCATGGAGCGCTCACAGGTCCCCTCTTGCCCCAGGGAACTTTATTCCCACAGGTGAGGTCCTGGGCTGGCAGCACCCAACGCTGACACCCCAACACCTGCAGGGCCGGGGGCACCCCGGGAAACGGGGCCAGGAGCCCCCGACCCCACATCCACGTCCCCTTCACCCTCCCCAGCCCAGCACCCCCCAGCAGCACCCAGCACCCTGCCCACCTCTCGGGGCACCTCTCTGCTTTCTTCTTTCCTGTGGTTTCGGCTGGGGCGTGGGGGGGTTCGGGTGCCGAGGCGCCGCCCCCGGGCGCCCGGCTGGCCCCGCTCTCCCCCTGCCCACCCCAGCATCGCCCAGGCCGCCGAGCTCGCTTGGCTCCCCGGCACCAGCGGGACTTTTCTCCAACAACTTGCTCTCTTTCTCTCTCTCTCTCTCTCTTTCTTTCTCTCTCTGGTTTCTATTTTTTATTTTTTTTTTCTTTTTAATCCCATCTGTGTTTTTCTTTAGCCTCCCATTTGAAAAAAACCCAAACGGTAATATACACTTCCATTTCTTGCTCAGCAGAAGCAGGGACGAGGGGGAGGGAAGGGCAATGAAACGTGCTGTTTTTTCCCGCCCCCTTGTTTTAGTTTCCTTTCTCATGATTTATTTTCTTTTCCCTTGTGATGTACAGAAATGCAAACGATATATATTTCTCTTCTTTTTATTTCCCCCCCACCCCGTCGTCGTCGTGTTGTTCTAGAATTTTTTGCTTTTGTGTGTGTTAATGTGGAGAAGAAAAAAAAAAAAAAACAAACAACAGAACAAAAACAAAAACCCGATGTGTTTTCTAAATATTTACGACGGCTGAACATTGTATTTCCATTTTCTATCTTTTGAACAAGGAATTTAAAAGGGAAGGGAACCCAGCAGCTCTACACTGCAAATGAGCGAATTTGCCTTTTTCCTCCTCAAATTGGCAACTGCGCGGTGTCCTCGGCTGGACCCTGGTGCCGTGGCGAGCTTTTCCTCGCCGGCTGCAGGATGAGGCCGCTGGGTGCGGGGCTATCCCGCATCCTGCATCCCGGCAGACCCTCCAAAAACTCCTGCCCACCCCAGCACCCCCAGAGCCGCCGGGAGCCAGGGGTGCCCCGGGGCGCTGCGCGGCGTTGCCTTCCCTTTTAAACACCCAGTCCTGTCTCCATCCATCCCTGCTGCCTTCCCAGCCTTCCTCCCGGGTCTCTCCTCCTCCTCCTCGCCCACACGCACCCTCCAGCCCCTCTCTTTCTCCGGTTTTCTTTGGGCCAACACAACCCGACATCCCCCGCCGTGTCCCACCTCCATCCATCGCCTTTCCCTGCATGTTGTCCGCGACTTTGCCGTGTCATAGGGTGACTTTTAAAGACTGAAGCGCAGCCTGGTCGGGTTACAGACACCAGCCAGCCACCTCCCCGCGGGCCCCCCCGCCGGCCTCAGCCTTCCAAATAAAAAACCAACCAACCAAACAAACAAAAGTTCTTAAAAAAGTAAATAAAAATTAGACGTGAAAGAGACCAATTTAAAAAATAAGTTTAAAAAATTCTAAGCAAAGCAAACGGGATTAGCCGAGGGGTCTGGATCGCCGTACTAAAGAGTCCTTGTCTTTTTCCCATTCTGCCCTCCAAATGTGGAGATTATTGTTTTCTTTTTTTATTATTGCATTCCTGTCACTGCCAATTCCAAAGGTAGGTATTTTGTCCACCTCTGCACGTTCACTTCTGCAGATGAGCCTGTTGAAAAGCACCGTAGCTTGATTTAATGTTATTTTCTCTTTCTTTCTGACTTTCTTTCTCTTTCTTTCTCACTCCCCTTCTCTGTCTCTCATTTTGTCTCTTTTTGGTGGCTATATATAATTTTTTTTTATTTGTATGGTTTTCCCCAGTTAGCTGCAAAGCCATGCTCTTCTCTTATGTTTTTTTTTAATTTTTTTTTTTTTTGCCCTGTCCACGTAATATTTTTTTTCTTTCTTCCCCCCTTTTCTCTTCCCCGTCTCCTCGTGCTGTCGGTAGAATGCATTTCTGTGTCTTTCAGCCCTCCGAATTTGTGTTCGTTTCCATTCAGGGGCCGAGCACGGCTGTTCCCTTTCAGTCCCCCATTAGTGGCCGGGTAATGAAAGGGAATATATTTAGGGAGAAATAGGGCAGTGGCTATGGGTAGAAGCGGGCACAGGGGGTTTTGGGGTGATAGATGGGGCAAGAAATGAGAAATCTGGGGAGATGTGTGGATTTAGCCCCTCTTCAGGGGGAAAAAGCCCAGCTCAGGGAAAATACTGAGGGAGGCTGCAGTAGGGAAAGGTTTAACTCTTCCTGCGGGGAGAAAGCAGGTCCAGGACATCCCAGTCTGCGAGGGGCAGGCGACAGCATCCCTGCCCTGGCTGTCCATCCCTGCAAGTGCCCAGTGTGTGTTTTCCCTCTTAGGCTGAGTCTTTGGCAATTTGGGTTTATTCGGGATGCTTTTACCTTTGCTGCCTTCCTGCACGCCAGGGCAGGAGACTCCGGGGTGGGAACCCTGCATCCCACAGCCCGACCCACGGCACGGCCAGCCAGTGCCAAAATGCCACCCTGGGAAAGAGGAACCCTCTCTCTTTCTCTCTTCATTGTCCTCTTCTTCTTCATCATCTTCTCTGCTTTAATGTTCCTCTCCTGGGATGCAGGGCTGGCATGGGCTCCCCTGATCCCCCTTCGTGGGCTGCTGATCCCCCTGGAGCTGATCCATGTCCCCCGATGCTTGCAGGGCAGCTGGGCAGGGCTGATCATCACTGCCAGCCTCCCCCTCACTGCAGCCGTTGCATCAGCAACTGTTTTTTAATCAAACCCCCAAATCCCCCCATTTTAGCTTCAGTTTTCTGCTCTGTGGCTGGAGGGATTGGCTTTTCCATGGGGGCAAGGAGGTGGTGGTGTGTGGAGCAGTCTGGGATGCTCAGGGACACGGAAGCTTCACGTTCCTTTTGCAGCATCTTCATGGTGGTCCCCAGAATCCCAGCCCTTATTTTTTGGAGGGAGAAAAGTGGCATTGAGAACACGGTGGGATGGGTGGAGAGAACCTCAGCCTCAAGGATTCACTGACCATCCATTGGTGTATTTGGGGCAAGGGGATGATGAGGAACTGGGCTCACCAGCCTGGGCATGGTGACACAATCCTGGCACCATCCCAATATCCCTGAACCCCTTTTGACCCCCTCGGCTGGACTCAGCGCTGCCCTGGGCAGGGTTCACCCTTCCAGGGATTCTCAGGGACCTGGCACCGGGCTGTGGCTGGGGGGAAGGAGACCCCAAAGCTCCCTGAGCTGGGGTTTGCCAGCTTGGTCAGGACTGGTGTTGCAGGAGCCGTTTCCACCCATCTTTTTTGGTCTCGTGGTGTTTGCAAAGATGGGGGGAATATCCAGGCAGCGTTTGTGGCTCAGAGGAGCTGAGATTTGGGAGCCTCAGGGCTGGGCAAAATCCTTTAAGATCTCAGTGAGAGCCTGGCTCAGGGCTTGGCCACGCTGGTGGCCCAAGGTTTCCCCTCCCTGTAGGAGAAGTGAGTTGGTTTGTTTTATTTCTCCTCTCTCTGGCTCTGTCTCTGTCTCTCCTCCTTCTCTCGCTCTTTCTTTCTCTCTTGCATTTTTGTGAATCTAATGATGCACTTATATTGCCCCGCTTTTCCCTTCTCTTCATACCTTACCTACTAAAGGAGGAAATGCCACTTTTTTGGTAAGTGGATGTTAACCAAGAGGGACTTAAAAAAAAAAAAAAAAATATAAAAAAAAAAAAAAAAAAAAAAAAAAGGAAGCAGAAAGCAAAGTCTGTGTTGAGTGCTGATGAGGACTTAGCAGTTCCCTGCAGAGTCACAGCTAACAGCTCAATGCGTGTCCCAGGAAGAGCTCAGAGACATTCGTTTATCTCAGTAACGAGGACATTTGTGAAGTTTTGCTTTGTATTTAATTTATTTATTTCTATTTTTTTTTAAGTTTGATTTGATTTGGATGGTTTTTTCTTCTTTTTTGTTGGTTTCTTTTATGCCTTCTCGCCCCCCCCCGGCCCCCCTCCTCTGCCTTGCCCTCCATTGTCGCTCTGTGCCGTTTTTTCCTCGTTTCTGGATTTGTTTTAAGCCGAAAGCTGTTCTATCGATAAAAACTACACGTATCGGAACATATATCTCTATATATGTGCATGCCTCAGTGTGAGCAGACCCCATCACCTCCAGCCCTCTTTGGTTCGACCTTTCCCCTCGGCTCAGTCTGATTTACTCTCCCCCACTGCCTCACCGTCCCTCCTCTCATCTGTTCTTTTTTTCCTTTTGTTTTTCCCCCATTTTCCTTCCTTCGTTTGGGTTTTATCCCCCTTTTCCCTTCCCCTTTTTTGGTCGGGGCGGGCGGGTGCCAGGGTTTGCTTTATCCCCTCTCCAAGTGTTTTTTGGTGGGGAGGGGGGTTGTTTCTTCCCCTTCAAGCTCTCCCTCCCCGACGACTTGGGGCTTTCTTGGATTTGTTTCTTTTCCTCCCATCCCACCCCTTCCTTTGGGTTTTTATTACGATTTAAGTTGAGTTATATTTTTTTGGCGTTTTGCATGCGGAGGTTTGCATGACCCACGTTGTTGAGGGCGAGAGGAAGGTGCAGAGTAGCGTCTGTGTAGCCTGCCTTATGCGATGTGCATTGACGTTGTGATCTGCGCCCCCGGGCCGGCGCCGCCCCGCTAAAATCCCCTTTCTCCTTCTTTCTTGTCTTCTTCCTCCCTTTCCTCCTCTCCCTCCTTCTCTCTCTCTCTCCTCCCTTGCCAGAGGCCGGCCTCGGCGTCCTCCTCTCCGCGGGCTCACGGCAGGACGGAGCCGCCGTCCCCCCGCAGCCGGGGGAGCCGCCACGGCGCCCGCAGCCCCCGCTCGGCCACGCCGGAGCGGGCCAAGCACGGCCACCGGCACCGCTCCCGCAGTGCCTCGCCGCCGCCCCGACACCGCGGCCAGAGCAAGGGGCGGCCCCCGGGCCCCCGGGAGCCGCCGCCGCTCAGCCCCGCCGGCTCCAGCAGCGACTCGGAGGGCTCGGCCGGCTCCCACCCCTACCACCCGCCGGCCGGCCCCGACAGGAACCACGGCGCGCACGGCAAGAAGTAAGGGAGTCCCCGGGATGGGGTCCCGCCGTCCCTGCCGGGGTGTGGGAGCCGGGCTCGGGTGTTTGGGGTGCAGCTCCCTGCGGGCACCTTAAATCCATCCAGCAAAGCCCTGGGGCTGAGCTGGGTTGGGATGCTCAAGGGATGGGAAAGGGACAGGAATGGGGATGGCAAATGAGGACGAGTTGGCGATGGGGACAGACCCGGGGATGGTGATAGGGAAGGGAATAAGGGTGGGGAAGAGCCACAGCGGGTCAGTGGTAGCACACTGTGGGAAGGGTCATCCCTGCAAGGGATTATCCCACTGCGAAGGGCAATGCCTGGATGGCAGCACGGGATTACAGCATCCCACAGGATGCGAGATGCCAAGCCAATGAAAGCCCCGTGCTTTACAGTCAGGGATGTAGCTCAGACAAAAACCGGTGTTCCTAATGGGAGCCTGGGGTCCCTGGCTGCTGTGGGGACACCCTGCCAGCCAGGACGAGGTGCGAGGCGGTGCTGGCGTCTGCCTTCACAGGGTGAAGGAGCGGCACCACCGGGGCCGGCCCAACAGCAGCTCGGAGTCGTCGGCCAAGCACTCCCGGCACGCCTCGGAGCGGAGGAAGAGCCCGTCCCCCAGCCCGGGCCAGCGCAGCAGCTCCTGGAGCTCCAGCGGCTCCCTCTCCAAGTCCCGCTCCCGCTCCCGGGACAAGAGAGCAGCGCGCAGCCGCTCCCGCTCGCCCTCGCCGAAAAAGCCAGCCAGCAGGTCAGGCTGGGGACAGGGACACGGGGACACGGCGGGTGCCAGCAGCGGGCTCAGAGGGCACCGCTGCCAGGGCTTCCCTGGCACTCGGGGAGGGGCCGCGCTGGTCACACCCAGCCCCAGGTGGGAGTGTGGTCGTGCAGGGAGCTGCTGTCACAGGGTGTCCCTGCGTCCCTCGGGACCCCATTCCCTGACCGTTCTCCTCCTCCCCGCGCTGTAGAGAGAAGGACAACGAGCCCCGAACACGCCACGGTGATCCCGATCCCGCCCGCCCCCGGCGCCGCTCCCGGAGCTACTCCCCCATCAGGAAGCGGAGACGCGACTCTCCCAGCTTCATGGAGCCCAGGAGGATCACCAGGTGTGTCCTGGCATGTGGCAAAGGCTCTGCACGGGCTCTGCCACAGCCCGGGGCTGAGCTCTGCTGCCCGCTGAGCCCAGAGGGTGCCCGGGTGGGCAGATGGGGATGGATGGATGGATGGATGGATGGATGGATGGATGGATGGATGGATGGATGGATGGACAATGGATGGATGGATGGATGGTGGGATGGATGATGGATGGATGATGGATGGATGGAGGGATGATGGATGGATGGATGGATGGATGGACAGACAGATGGATGGATGGATGATGGATGGATGGATGGATGGATGGATGGATGGATGTACAATGGATGGATGGATGGATGGTGGGATGGATGATGGATGGATGGAGGGATGATGGATGGATGGATGGATGGATGGATGGATGGATGGACAGACAGATGGATGGATGGATAGATGGACGGACACACAGATGGACAACAGCAGCTCTGTGGATGCACAGATAGCTCTGAGGATGACTGGGTAAATCAGCTGGCCCAGACAGATGGGCAACCAGACTGCCTCCAATTCTGTGACCTTCTGATCTCTCCCTGTTTCGAGGCATGAAAACAGGAATTAATTTAATCCGCCTGTGCATACTCCAGCAATGTGCACGTCCGCAGTCACGTCTCTCCTGCCCTCCAAAAGCTGGTTTCCCCTCCTTGGGATCCTATTGCCTCAGGATTCTGAGCTGTAAGACAGGCAATATTTCGTGCCAGACAAAACACTGTGTGCATATGTAGCACCTCGTTAAGATGCAGCACTGGCAGCGGGGCGTGCCGAGCCCAGATTACCTCCTTCCTGACCTATTTGTCTCTCCCACTATTAGCTGGGTGGTCGGGGGGGGCTGGATTTTCAGAAATCTGCCTCCCTGTGGGAGGGATTTTGTTTTCCCTGGGCAGGACTGGAGTTGTCAGGAGGGAGGACAGGAGAAAGGACAGGAGGAACACTGCAGAGCCCACGGGTTAAAGCTCCCCACAGTCCTCCCTGATGGATGCCCTGGAAAGAGAATGGGCTGGGAAAGCTGCTCCCAGCCCAGCCCAAGTGCCGCTGTCTGGTTTTCCATCCCTCCTGCTCCATCCAGGTTTTCCCAGGATGTCCCCAGGGAGGTGGCAGGGCTCGGCTGGAGAACACAGTCCCTGTGGGGACTGTTCACCTCGCCCCCATCACCATCCTTGGGGTGGATGGGGATGGCAGACCCCGCTCTGCTCAGGGTTCAGGAGGAGCAGAGCCATTTCAGTGAGGTGCAGAGGGTGCTGTGGGGAGGGGGCAGCCAGGGAAACACCCCCAGCCCCCCCTGCCTGCCCCATAGCCCAGCCAGAAGCCCCAGGGCTTTTCTTGCCCACCTGCCCTGTCCCCAGTTCCCATCACACCCCTCCACCATGTGGTCCTACCTCAGTGATGCCAACTTCTCCTTTTCCATTTCATCCCAAGGTCCCTCCCGGAGAGCATCGCCGCCAGCCTGGCTCCCAGGGTAACCTTCCCCCTTCCTCCTCTTCCTCCTCCTCCTCCTCTTCCTCCTGGACCCCTCTGTGTCTCCTCACACCTTAGGATGCCCTCAGCACCCAGCCGCTCTCTGGTCTCATTAACACCAGCCTGGGAGAGGGGACAAGGGGCCGACTCCCGATGTCGCTGCCCCCTGTGTCCCCCCACCCCAGTGTCCCCGTGTCCCTCCTCATCCTCAGGCGCCAGCGGGCCGCAGCTCGCCTCCCGCTAATCCCGAACGTCTCTTTTTTCAGCAGCTTTCAATCTTTGGTGTGTGGGAAACACAAAAACCACATTAACCTGCTCACTTTCTGCCCTCGACGCTGCCTAATCCAGGACTAACACCCCGGGGAGGGGGCAGGGGAGGAGGAGAGGGATGCACGGAAGGGGAGGCGATGCCGGGTGGCCGCATCCCGCCAGCCCGCAGCCGCTCCGAGCCCGCCCGCTGGGACGCTTGGCTGCCCCGGCTGAATGCTTGGCCGTGCCGGGGAGGGGGGGCTGACTCAGTTTCCCTTTTCCACTTGCAGCGCCCGCAAGCGTCCCATCCCTTACTACCGGCCCAGCCCCTCGTCCTCCAGCTCGCTGAGCACCTACTCGTACAGCCGGAGCCGCAGCCGCAGCTACGACAGCTCCAGCTCCAGCCGCAGCCGCAGCCGGACTCGCAGCCCCCCCAGCCGCTCCCGCAGCCCCAGCCGCAGCCCCAGCTACAACAGCCGCAGCAGCTCGGAGAGCGCCGGCTTCTGAGCCCCCGCAGCCCAGCTCGGCCCCTCCGTGCCACCTGCGCCCCCGGGAGGGTCGGCACCACCGGGGAGGTGCAAAGGAGCCGGGGGGATGCTAAGGATGGACCTGGCAGCGGGGGAAAAGCACGGACGGGAGCTCCGATGGCTCCTTGGAACGCCCTGGGAGGGGGTGGTTCCCCCCGCTGCGGGGTGTTTTGGGGTCGGGATGGGGAAGGGGAGGATCTCTTCTTGTTACTGCGAGTGCCGGGGTGGGGCGGGGCGGGGTGGGCGAGCACAGAGCGAGGGAACAAATGCTCTGCAGAGACCTTGGGACCTTGTCCCCTTGGCTGGGGACACCCCTGGGGTCCCCCTGTGCTTTTTTGGTTTTGTTTGACTGTTTTTTAGCACGAGAGCATCCCGGGGAGGTGGGCGGGGGGGGCAGGCTCAGCTGGAGGGTGTGATGCCAACCAGAGGTGAGCAAGGCCCTGTTTCCCCCAGCGAAGTTGTCCCCATGGGAGACAGAGGCTCTGCAAAACATTTGGGGTCCCCCCAGACCTGAGCACACGCCGAGCCATGGATGAACAAAGCCGGCAGCGCCTGTAATTCTCTTCCCAAGGGAGGAGATCCAGGGAAAAACGCTGCTTGTCCCAGCTCAGGAGCCGGCCCTGACACCCACCCACCCCCCCAGTTTGGGGGCACCGAGCTGTCACCCCCGGGAGCAGGGAGCTGCAGGGCCTAGGGCTGGGCAGGGGGAGCATCCAAACATCCTCTGGCATGTCCCACCTCTGGGCTCGCAGCCCCCAGCCCCCTCCTGCTCTGGGGAAAAGTGGCTGCTTTTTAAACTGAATTATGGCAAGAGAGAGGCAGGAGGGTCCCGGGCTTGGCCCGCCGCCCGGCTTTTGCAGGATTTTGCTGATTTCCCAAAAAAACAAAAGCCCCCAGGCGCTGAGGCCAGTCGTGCCCCGGGGGGTTGGTGTTCAGTGCCGGTGGCCCCGCGTTTTCCGGATGGCTGGAGCAGGACAATGGGGATGAGCCTCCCCGGCTGCGGGAGCAGCTGCCCGGATTAACCCGCTGCCCCTGGATGCAAAGCCAGGCTCCGGCGCTGGTTTCCAGCCTGCCGGGATCGGGAGGATCCTCCGGAGTCCAGCTCAGCCTCCTTAGCCGTGGCCTGGTGAACCAGAGGACCCGAGAGGACAGAGATGGGAGCGAAAGGGCACTTCAGGGTCAGCCTCCCAAACCTGGCATGTCAAGGCTCAGCCAGAGGCTGAGGATTCAGCGGCCCTTGGAGAAAAATCCCAGGAGCTGGGCAGTGCCAGCCCCTGGGTGTGCCAGCCACCGGCTGGCAGAGACACCTGAACAAGCAGAGGTGTTAGCAATGGGGTGAGCAGGTAAGGAGGGGACACACCCGTGGCACTCCATGGTGCAGCTTGTCCCCAAGTGCCAGCCCCGGGCAGGGTGGCGGCTCTGGACTCGACTGTGGCAGGAGGAGGAGACAAAGGGTTCTGCTCCAGCCTGGGGAGATGGAGGACACGAGTTCCCCCAGCATCCCCGCAAGCCCCAAAACCCATCCCAGCAATTCCAGCCGCTGCCTCGCAGCCCCCGCGCCCCCATCGCCCCCGGGAAGCTCAGACTGGCCGCCGGAGCCCCAGCCCCGCTGGGACATGGGGGAATCCCCCGACAACACCGAACCCAAGCCAGCAGCGGGGGATTTCCCCCGTGGGGCCGCGGCTCCCAAAAACCCGAGACCCGACTGCAGCGGCGCCGCGGACCAGCCAGCACATCAGGGAAAAATTCCAGTCTTCCTCTTTTACAGTCTCTGTCTCCTGCCGCGGAGGGAGCCAACTGGAACAAATACTCTGTAGAAATACTTCAGTATTTTCCTGTCGCGCGTGCGCTCTCTCTCTGGGTTGTGAGTACAGCTGTAGATGCCGTGAGCTGGTGCAATTATAATAAATATACAGTATATATTGTAAATTACTCTGCTGGGTACTGAGAGGTTTCTTCCTGCCAGGAGCACGGCAGGGTTATCCCGCTCCTTTCATCTGCGGATCCATCCTGCTCTTCCCTCCGGCTCCACGTGGAGCAGCACCGCGAGTTTTGTGTCTGATCCCACCGGGATCCTGCTGTGTCCGTGGGGAACCCTGTGCCTCCTCCCCGGCCCCTCGCCGTCCTCCTGGCTCCCTGCATCCCTCCCTGCGTCACTCCCACTCGCCGGCCAGCTCCCATCCATCCTGCCTGCATTCCTCCCTGCATCCTCACCTGCATCTCTGCCTGCATCCCTCCCTTCTCTCCCACATCCCTGCAACTCTCCCATCCGTTCCATCCCTGCCTCATCCCTCTCCTGATCCCTCCCATCCCTCCCTGCTCCTCCCCGTATCCCTCCCATTTCCCTGCATCTCTCCCTGCATTCCCACCTGCCACTCTTCCATTGCTCCCCGCATCCCTCCTCTGATCCCCCCCTCCCTCCCAGCATCCCTCCCTGCATCTTCCTCTGCATCCTTCCCTGCATTCCCTCCATTTCCCTGCATCCCTGCCTGCATTTCTCCCCTCCCTCCCACATCCCCCTCGTCTCCCCGCATCCCTCCCACTCCCTCCTCCCTGCAGTGCCCCGTCTTCCCCTGGTTCCCTCCTCCCCAGCCGGCCGCAGTCCCCAGGGGATGCAGCCCCCAGCCCCACATGGCTCAGCTCCCCACAGCCCCTTCCCCCTCACCGCCATTCCAGAGTCACTCTGGGCTCTGCCCCAGGCAAAGGACACCCCCGAATCTGCTGCTGCTGCATCCCCTCCACTCCTGGAGGTCATAATTCCTGCACTGGGTGTGTCAGGGCTCAGGTGCCACCCACCCCCTTGTTCTCCAGGGCAAATGTGGGGCCAGAGGGGCACTGGGCGGAGGTGAGGGGCTCCCAGAGCCGCCAGGCTCGCTGGGCTGGCAAACAGCCCTTCCCCAGGATGGGAGCTTGGGCTCCAGCCCCACATGGGAATCCCTTCCTGGGTGCCAGGTGTGTGGAGAGACTTGGATGAGAGGATCCCCTCCAGCCCTCTCAGTCCCCTCCAGTCCCTCTCCCCCCCTGCAGCCCCCCTAACCCCATTATCACAATCAGCCCCCAGACCCCACTGGCTCCCCTCAGGTCCTGTGAGCCCCCACCAACCCCTACAGGTCCCATTGGCCCCCAACCCTCGGCAACCCCAAGGGGCCTCAGGGACCCTCACTCATGGGGACTGGAGCAGCCCAGCTTGGTGCTGGGGTTTCCTACCACGGTGCTGAGCACTGGAGCCACTGGAGTGCCAGAGGGCTGGGGGGCTCTGGAACCTTCTGGCTGATGGGTGACCAGGAGCTGGGGGGCT